TCCTGCACACCAGGGGTCTCCTGCACACGAGGGGGTCTCCTGCACACGAGGGGGTCTCCTGCACCAAGCTTCAATCGAGTAGCCCGGTGCGAAGTGAAGACGCCGCCGCTAGGGAGACAAAGGCGGCCGGGCGTGCTTTGCTGACCCACGTGGAGCCGTGCCGCCCGGCCTTCAAAAGGGCGCGGGGCTACTCGCGAACGGCACTTTGCCCCCAACACTCTGCCCGAGGCTACACGGGGGACCTTTGCCTTTGCCGTGTTTGTCACGGTCAAGGTCCGGGTGACGCTTGCGCAAACGGAGCCGTTCACCCCGGCCGCCCGGTCCGGTGACATTCCGCGCGTGTGTGTGTCTGTGTGCTCCGTGTGTCTGTGTGGTCCGTGTGTATGCTCCGTGTATCTGTGTGGTCCGTGTGTGTGTGTGTGTCTGTGTGCTCCGTGTGTCTGTGTGGTCTGTGTGTGTCCGTGTGTGTCTGTGTGATCCGTGTGTCTGTGTGTGCTCCGTGTGTCTGTGTGTGTGTGTCTGTGTGTGTGTGTCTGTGTGTGTGTGTGTCTGTGTGGTCCGTGTGTCTGTGTGGTCCGTGTGTCTGTGTGTCTGTGTGTGTGTGTGTCTGTGTGTGTGATCCGTGTGTCTGTGTGCTCCGTGTGTCTGTGTGGTCCGTGTGTCTGTGTGTGTCTGTGTGGTCTGTGTGTCTGTGTGCTCCGTGTGTCTGTGTGCTCCGTGTGTCTGTGTGGTCCGTGTGTCTGTGTGGTCCGTGTGTCTGTGTGGTCCGTGTGTCTGTGTGTGTGTGTCTATGTGGTCCGTGTGTCTGTGTGGTCCGTGTGTCTGTGTGTGTGTGTCTGTGTGGTCCGTGTGTCTGTGTGGTCCGTGTGTGTGTGTGGTTCGTGTGTCTGTGTGGTCCGTGTGTCTGTGTGTCTGTGTGGTCCGTGTGTCTGTGTGTGTGTGTCTGTGTGTGTGTGTGTCTGTGTGGTCCGTGTGTCTGTGTGTCTGTGTGGTCCGTGTGTCTGTGTGTCTGTGTGGTCCGTGTGTCTGTGTGTGTGTCTGTGTGTGTGTCTGTGTGTGTGTGTGTGTCTGTGTGTGTGTGTGTGTCTGTGTGGTCCGTGTGTCTGTGTGGTTCGTGTGTCTGTGTGGTTCGTGTGTCTGTGTGTCTGTGTGGTCCGTGTGTCTGTGTGTCTGTGTGGTCCGTGTGTGTGTGTGTGTCTGTGTGTGTGTGTGTCTGTGTGGTCCGTGTGTCTGTGTGTCTGTGTGGTCCGTGTGTCTGTGTGTCTGTGTGGTCCGTGTGTCTGTGTGTGTGTCTGTGTGTGTGTGTCTGTGTGGTCCGTGTGTCTGTGTGGTCCGTGTGTCTGTGTGCTCCGTGTGTCTGTGTGTGTGTCTGTGTGGTCCGTGTGTCTGTGTGTGTGTGTCTGTGTGGTCCGTGTGTCTGTGTGTGTGTGTCTGTGTGGTCCGTGTGTCTGTGTGTGTGTGTGTCTGTGTGGTCCGTGTGTGTGTGTCTGTGTGGTCCGTGTGTCTGTGTGCTCCGTGTGTGTGTGGTCTGTGTGTCTGTGTGTGTGTGTCTGTGTGGTCCGTGTGTCTGTGTGGTCCGTGTGTCTGTGTGGTCCGTGTGTCTGTGTGTGCTCCGTGTGTCTGTGTGGTCCGTGTGTCTGTGTGGTCTGTGTGTCTGTGTGTGTGTCTGTGTGGTCCGTGTGTCTGTGTGGTCCGTGTGTCTGTGTGTGCTCCGTGTGTCTGTGTGCTCCGTGTGTCTGCTCCGTGTGTCTGTGTGCTCCGTGTGTCTGTGTGGTCCGTGTGTCTGTGTGTGTGTGTGTCTGTGTGGTCCGTGTGTCTGTGTGGTCCGTGTGTCTGTGTGGTCCGTGTGTCTGTGTGGTCTGTGTGTCTGTGTGCTCCGTGTGTCTGTGTGTGTGTGTGTTTGTGTGTGTGTGTCTGTGTGGTCCGTGCGGGGCCTGCGTCTATACGCGTCTTGCGTGTGTGCGCGTGTGTGTGTTGCTCGCCATTGTGTGTCACTGTGTCAGCATGTGTCATTGTCCGCGTGTGTGTGTACAGGTGGGTGGGGGAGCTGCAGTGTAGGCGTTTGGGGTGTACGTGTGCTGTTTCGTGTCCGTGCGTTTACAATTGTCCCTATACATTGGGGTTAGCGTATCAGCACGCTGGTGTGTCAGTGTACAGGTGTGTCAGTGTACAGGTGTGCCAGTGTACAGGTTTGGCACATTGTCCCCTCTGTAACACGAAGAGACAGACAGAGAGATCCGCCTGTCCACCACGGGGGAATAATTCCCAAAGTGCGTTTCAGATCCAACATTCGCGATCAGGCGTGTAACCACTTCGTCTACGCGCCCTTAATGCGGCAAACATTTCTCGTGCAAAAAGCTGCGACGGTCACCTTGCTATCATACAGAAATCAGATCTGGAGATAAGCGGACTTGGGAAAAGCACTGATAGCAGTCGCCACCCGGGCGGGTACCCAAGAGATATCTATATTTAGGCCGATGACTCAAGGAAGCCGGGGCAAGCAGTGTGAATGGGTTGTTTGCTGTAGTTTGCACAGTATCGCGTGCCCAACTGCAAACCCTCACTCGCGTTCCGTCGCGGGATTGCAACTTCTCACAATTCCTCGTCAGAGTCATTAGAAAGCCTACACAACGGGCTAAACAACCGCGCGCACGCATATATATACACACACGCACGCACACGCGCGCAGCAATACAACAACAATAATATATCTATAAAAATATGGACATTTGGCTCGAGATCCATTTCACTGTCGGGACTGGAACAGAACCCCTTACCCCAAGGGGGACCCGAGGGCTGGGAAAGGGGCACAGAGGGGGTTAGGGAAGGGGGGGAGGGGGGGGAGGGGGGGGGGGCCTCTAGAATAGGGACGGGGGGGAATGGAGGTAAGGCTGAATATTTTCCGGAACTCAGCCCTGGACATTTCCGGCTCAAATGAAATCTCTGACCTGACGTTCCTGAATTGATGATGATCGATCTCAGGGGGTCTGGCCATGGACCCCAAAAGTGCACCACCCCCCCCCACCCCGTGCCCCCCACTTCCACAGAGCCCCACGTAGACTCGTCCGGTCAACTCTCCTCCCTCCACCTCCCCCTCTCACAAATATCAACACCCCCCCTCCCCATAAAAAACCGTAGCGCATCGCGCCAATTGCCACTATCCTGTAAACTCGTGGGGTGAGTCGCCCCTACCACTCCACCACTACGCCTACCACTCCACTACTACGCCTACCACTACGCCTACCATTCCACCACTACGCCTACCACTCCACCACCCCGCCTACCACTCCACCACTACGCCTACCACTCCACCACTATGCCGACCACTCCACCACTACGCCCACCACTCAACCACTATGCCTACCACTCCACCTACCACTCCACCACTATGCCTACCACTCCACCTACCACTCCACCACTCCACCACTGCGCCTACCACTTCACCTACCACTCCACCACTACGCCTACCACTGCTCCACCATTACGCCTACCACTCCACCACTACGCCTACCACTCCACCACTCCACCCCTCCACCACTACGCCTACCACTCCACCTACCGCTCCACCACTACGCCTACCACTCCACCACTACGCCTTCCACTCCACCACTACGCCTTCCACTCCACCTACCACTCCACCACTCCACCACTACGCCTACACACTCCACCACTACGCCTACCACTCCACCACTACGCCTACAACTCCACCACTCCACCCCTTCACCACCACGCCTACCACTCCACCACCACCACAACAACAGCAACATCCTCCACCGCTGTCACCGCCATCATCATCCTCACCACAATGACCACGAGGAGGTGGATAGCAGCGGAGTAAATGGAACCGCGCGGTTCACGAAGCAAACAAACACGAGGACGCGAGTTTAAATAACCGAGCGCGCCGGAGTGGATCCGAACCGTCGAACCGGTGACGGTCCCCACCCCGCCACCCCCCCCCCCCCCGAGAGTGTGGGGGGCACTAGCCCCCCCCTCCGCCCTTTTCGCCGCAGCAGCAGCAGTAGAATCATCATCAGTTTGTCTCCGTGGCGGTGTCCAGCGGCCACGTGTGCAGCAGGGGTGAGCAGTAGGGGGTGAGTGATAGGCGGTAGGGGGGTGAGTGATAGGGTTGGTAAGAGTGAGTGGCAAGAGTGAGTAGCAGGAGTGAGTAGCAGGAGTGAGTGACAGGAGTGAGGGTGAGCGGTAGGAGTGAGGGTGAGCGGTAGGAGTGAGGGTGAGCGGTAGGAGTGAGGGTGAGCGGTAGGAGTGAGTGACAGGAGTGAGGGTGAGCGGTAAGAGTGAGTGGTGAGTGGGGGGAGGGGGGAGAAGCCCCTTGGCAGGCGTGGAGCCGCGCGGGCCCCCCAGGAGGCGCTCCCCTCCGCGTCCTCCTCCTCCCCCCTCCTCCTCCTCCCCCCTCCTCCCCCCTCCTCCTCCCCCCTCCTCCCCCCTCCACCTCCACCCCCCTCCACCTCCACCCCCCTCCTCCTCCTCCCCCCTCCTCCCCCCTCCTCCCCCCTCCTCCTCCTCCCCCCTCCTCCCCCCTCCTCCTCCTCCTCCCCCCTCCTCCTCCCCCCTCCTCCCCCCTCCTCCTCCTCCCCCCTCCTCCTCCTCCCCCCTCCTCCTCCTCCCCCCTCCTCCTCCTCCCCCCTCCTCCTCCCCCCTCCTGCTGCTCTGCGTGCGAGGCGAAGCGAGCATTTTGTCCTGGTCACTGGGCGGTCAGCAGTGGTAGGGGTGAGTGGTAGGGGTGAGTGTGGGTGGGGTGAGTGTGGGTGGGGTGAGTGTGGGTGCGGTGAGTGGGGTGAGTGTGGGTGGAGTGAGTGGGATGAGTGTGAATTGTAGGTGTAATGGTGAGTGGCAGAGGTGAGTGATAGGGGTGAGTGGCAGGGGTGAGTGTTAGGGGTGAGTGTTAGGGATGAGTGGTAGCGGTGAGTTGGTAGGGGTGAGTAGCAGGGGTGAGTGGCAGGGGTGAGTGGCAGGGGTGAGTGGCAGGGGTGAGTGTTAGGGATGAGTGGTAGGGGTGAGTGCTAGGGGTGAGTGGCAGGGATGAGTGGTAGGGGTGAGTGGCAGGGGTGAGTGGCAGGGGTGAGGTTCCTTGGTCGTCCTTGGCTCCGTGGTGAGCAGCAAGCCCTGCACGAGAGACGCGGCTTTTAGCTCACGAACCGCACCCGGGGCTGTGCTCCACGCTACCCTCATCACCCGCGCCACTGTACCTGAACGGATCTCCGTGTGTCTCCGTGTCTCCCCGTGTCTCCCTGTGTCTCCCCGTGTCTCACCCGTGTCTCACCCCGAGTCTCCGTGGATCCTGAGTCTCCCCCGTATCTCCCCGCGAGTCTCCACCCATCCTCCCCGTGTCTCCCCGTGTCTCACCCCGTGTCTCACCCCGAGTCTCCGTGGATCCTGAGTCTCCCCGTATCTCCTCGTGTCTTCCTGTGTCTCACCCCGTGTCTCCATGGTTCCACCCATCTCCCTGTGTCTCCCCGTGTCTCTCCGTATCTCCCCGTGTCTCGCCCTCAGTCTTCGCAATCGACAAATCTCTCCGTGTCCTCCCGAACTCCCCATCGCCTCCGACGCAATCGAAAATCCCTGCGTCCGACAGAAATCTCCCCTCCCCCCCCCGTGATTCCCAGGGCTTTGCCAGTGGCTACCCAAGTCTCCTCGTGTCTCCTGGATCTCCCCCATCTCACCACCCCCCCACCTCTGTGTCTCCCCTCCCCGTCTCTCCCACTCGGCCCCTGTATCCCCCCGCCCCCCCCCCCCCCCCCGAGTCTTTTTGGCTCCCGCTGGGCCTCCTTTGAACATTTCTGGGCTCCACGTAGCCCCCTGGATGTCCACGGACAGCTGTGTACCCCCCATTAACTTCCACTCACAATACGACAACACGCCTTTGTAAAACGACATCACCGCCACACTCCCCCCCCCCCCCCCCACTGCACTACTCAATTCACACAGCCGGGAGTAACGAGACATTCGTCTACCCAATGCACAGGGACGACGCCTCGCCATCAATTACGGCTTGGCTCATCTGGCCCAAGGGTGGATTTCGTGGCGAGGTCTGTCGCCCCCCCTCCCATATCCCCCCCCACACCCCCCCCCCAATCTCCCCCCCCCCCAATCTCCCCCCCCCAATCTCCCCCCCCCAATCTCCTCCCCCCCCCAATCTCCCCCCCCCAATCTCCCACCCCCCATCTACCCCCTCTCCCCCCCCTGTCTCCCACCCCCAATCTCCCCTCCCCCCATCTTCCACCCCCCCCCCATCTCCCCCGTCCCCCCCACATATCTCTCTCACCTTGCTCCCACCACCCGTCTCCCACCCCCCATCTCCCCCCCCCACCCCCCACATATCTCTCTCACCTTGCTCCCACCCCCCCATCTCCCCCCCCCCTCCCACATATCTCTCTCACCTTGCTCCCACCACCCGTCTCCCACCCCCCCATCTCCCCCCCCCCACCCCCCACATATCTCTCTCACCTTGCTCCCACCACCCCCCCCCCCGTCTCCCCCCCGCCGTCTCCCCCCCCCCCCCACATATCTCTCTCACCTTGCTCCCACCACCCGTCTCCCACCCCCCCCATCTCCCCCCCCCCCCCACATATCTCTCTCACCTTGCTCCCACCACCCGTCTCCCACCCCCCCCATCTCCCCCACCCCCCACATATCTCTCTCACCTTGCTCCCACCCCCCCATCTCCCCCCCCCCCACATATCTCTCTCACCTCGCTCCCACCACCCGTGCCAGGCGGTTCAGAACGCCGTGGCCGCCGTGTCGTCCTGCCCGCACGGCTGCCAGCCACGCGCCGGCCCGCCGCCGCTGGCCACAGCGGTGGAGGGCAACGCGCCGTTCTTGACGCCCGCGACGTCGTTGCTAAAGCTTTGGTTGTGGTGGCTCCCGTTGGTGGCGTCACGGTGGGCGCGCTTGCTGTGCTGGTGGGTCTGATTGCGGCTGGAGCGGACCCACGGTCTCGAGAACGACCGGGACGTGACGTTGACGCGATCGTACTTGCTCTCCGTCGCCGTGATGTTGCCCATGAACCAGAAGAGCCACCAGATGATGCTCAAGAAGACGACGATGGCCCCCGTGTAGATGAGGAAGTCGTAGTAGGCGACCTGGTTGGCGAAGATGCCCACCAGGATCATGACCAGGCCCACCACGTCGAACACCAGCGCTAGCACGAAGGCCCAGGCGCAGCGGCCCAGGGACCGGTTGCCACACTCGGCCATCGAACGTTGGCCAGCCCGGTTCGACTCCTGGAGAAGGAGGCAGTCTGCTGGTGGTGGAAAATGAGGATGTGGTGGTGTAGGTGGAAGAGGAGGTGGTGGTGGGTCTTGTTGTTTGTCCGGCGTGTTCTCCTAGTCGCTATCTGAGAGGGCCACCGACTCGTCTGCTTCCAGATTGGTCGGATTCCCTGGAAATTAATAAAAGAGAGAGAGAGGGGTGGGGGGTGATGAGAGGGGGATGGTAGGAGGGAGAGATGGTGAGAGGGGAAAGATGGTGAGAAAGGGGAGAGATGGTGAGAAAGGGGAGAGATGGTGAGAAAGGGGAGAGATGGTGAGAGAGGGGAGAGATGGTGAGAGAGGGGGGAGATGGTGAGAGAGGAGAGATGGTGAGAGAGGGGAGATGGTGAGAGGGAGAGGTGGTCAGAGAGGGGAGAGATGGTGAGAGGGGAGAGATGGTGAGAGGGGGAGATGGTGAGAGCGGGGAGATGGTGAGAGGGAGAGATGGTGACAGGGGAGAGATGGTGAGATGGAGAGATGGTGAGAGAGGGAGAGATGGTGAGAGGGGGAGAGATGGTAAGAGAGGGAGAGATGGTGAGAGGGGGGAGATGGTGAGAGGGAGGGAGATGGTGAGAGGGGGAGATGGTGAGAGGGGGAGATGGTGAGAGGGGGAGAGATGGTGAGAGAGGGAGAGATGGTGAGAGGGAGAGATGGTGAGAAGGAGAGATGGTGAGAGAGGGAGAGATGGTGAGAGAGGATGAGAGGGGAGAGATGGTGAGAAGGAGAGATGGTGAGAGGGGGGAGAGATGGTGAGAGGGAGAGATGGTGAGAGAGGAGAGATGGTGAGACAGAGAGATGGTGAGAGAGGAGAGATGGTGAGAGGGGGAGATGATGAGAGGGGGAGATGGTGAGAGGGGGGAGAGATGGTGAGAGGGAGAGATGGTGAGAGGGGGGAGAGATAGTGAGAGGGGGGAGAGATGGTGAGAGGGAGAGATGGTGAGAGAGGAGAGATGGTGAGAGGGTGAGATGGTGAGAGGGGGAGATGGTGAGAGGGGAGAGATGGTGAGAGGGGGGAGAGATGGTGAGAGGGGGGAGAGATGGTGAGAGATAGTGAGAGGGAGAGATGGTGAGAGGGAGAGATGGTGAGAGGGAGAGATGGTGAGATGGTGAGAGGGAGAGATGGTGACAGGGGAGAGATGGTGACAGGGGAGAGATGATGAGAGGGAGAGATGGTGAGAGGGAGATATGGTGAGAGGGGAGAGATGGTGAGAGGGAGATATGGTGAGGGGGGAGATGGTGAGAGGGGAGAGATGGTGAGAGATGGTGAGAGGGGGGAGAGATGGTGAGAGGGAGAGATGGTGAGAGGGGGAGATGGTGAGAGGGGAGAGATGGTGAGAGGGAGAAATGGTGAGAGGGGGAGAGATGGTGAGAGGGAGAGATGATGAGAGGGGGAGATGGTGAGAGGGGGAGATGGTGGGAGGGGGAGATGGTGAGAGGGGAGAGATGGTGAGAGGGAGAGATGGTGAGAGGGAGATATGGTGAGGGGGGAGATGGTGAGAGGGGAGAGATGGTGAGAGATGGTGAGAGGGGGGAGAGATGGTGAGAGGGGGAGATGGTGAGAGGGGGAGATGGTGAGAGGGGAGAGATGGTGAGAGGGAGAAATGGTGAGAGGGGGAGAGATGGTGAGAGGGAGAGATGGTGAGAGGGGGAGATGGTGAGAGGGGGAGATGGTGAGAGGGGGAGATGGTGAGAGGGGAGAGATGGTGAGAGGGAGAGATGGTGAGAGGGGGAGAGATGGTGAGAGGGGGAGATGGTGAGAGATGGTGAGAGGGAGAGATGGTGAGAGGGGGAGATGGTGAGAGGGGAGAGATGGTGAGAGGGAGAGATGGTGAGAGGGGGAGATGGTGACAGGGGAGAGATGGTGAGAGGGGGAGATGGTGAGAGGGGGAGATGGTGACAGGGGAGAGATGGTGAGATGGTGACAGGGGAGAGATGGTGACAGGGGAGGTTGTGAGATGGTGATAGGGGAGAGATGGTGAGAGGGGAGAGATGGTGAGAGGGGAGAGATGGAGAGATGGTGACAGGGGAGAGATGGTGAGATGGTGACAGGGGAGAGATGGGGCACCTACCGGTGGTGGAGGTGGTGGACTTTCGGCACTGGTGGTGAACCCTTGCAGGTACTGCTGGACTCTAAGTACCGGTGGATTTTCCGTGCTTGCTGGTGGTGGACTCTCAGTGGCGATGGTGGAAGACTCTCAATGCTGGTGGGGATCTGTTCCTTGAGTACTCCCCACCGTGATGGCAAACCTTCAGATGCAACGGTGGACTCCGAGGGGGTCTGGTCGATCTTCCGTGGTGCTTGTATAACCAAAACTTCAGAGGTGGCTTGCGAAATGTGGAGGCGTTCAGCCTGGACTCCCAGCGGAACTTCTGGCCTGCCAGACGTCGTGGTCGACTCCCAGAGGTCCTGGTCGACTCGCAGAGGTCCTGGTCGACTCTCAGAGGTCTCGGTCGACTCTTAGAGGTCTCGGTCGACTCCCAGAGGTCCCAGTGGACTCCCAGAGGTCCCGGTCGACGCTCAGAGGTCCCGGTCGACTCCTAGAGGTCGCGTTCGACTCCCAGAAGTCCCGGTCGACTCCCAGAGGTCCTGGTCGACTCGCAGAGGTCCCGGTCGACTCCTAGAGGTCCCGGTCAAATCCCAGAGGTCCAAGTGGACTCTAAGAGTTCCCGGTCGACTCCCAGAGGTCCCGGTCGACTCCCAGAGGTCCCGGTCGACTCCCAGAGGAACTGGTGGACTCCCAGAGGTCCCAGTGGCCTCTCCGTAGAGGTGGATACTGAGAGCTCCGCGCTGTGCCGGCTGACAACTTTGTTGTGTTTTGCGCAATTGGAGGCGGTGATGACGCCCCTGCGATGCGCATTCAACCCAAACCGGTTACACGCCTCCCTGCAGCGTGCGCGTGCGTGTCTGCGTGTGTGTGTCTACGTGTGTGTGTGTCTACGTGTGTGTGTGTCTACGTGTGTGTGTCTACGTGTGTGTGTGTTTCTACGTGTGTGTGTGTCTACGTGTGTGTGTGTGTCTACGTGTGTGTGTGTGTCTACGTGTGTGTGTTTCTACGTGTGTGTGTCTACGTGTGTGTGTCTACGTGTGTGTGTGTCTACGTGTGTGTGTCTACGTGTGTGTGTCTACGTGTGTGTGTGTCTGCCTGTGTGTGTTTCTACGTGTGTCTACGTGTGTGTGTCTACGTGTGTGTGTCTACGTGTGTGTGTGTCTACGTGTGTGTGTCTACGTGTGTGTGTGTCTACGTGTGTGTCTACGTGTGTGTCTACGTGTGTGTGTCTACGTGTGTGTGTCTACGTGTGTGTGTGTGTCTACGTGTGTGTGTGTCTACGTGTGTGTCTACGTGTGTGTGTCTAGGTGTGTGTGTTTCTACGTGTGTGTGTGTCTACATGTGTGTGTGTCTACGTGTGTGTGTCTACGTGTGTGTGTGTCTACGTGTGTGTGTGTCTACGTGTGTGTGTGTCTACGTGTGTCTACGTGTGTGTGTGTTTCTATGTGTGTGTGTCTACGTGTGTGTGTGTCTACGTGTGTGTGTCTACGTGTGTGCGTCTACGTGTGTGTCTACGTGTGTGTGTCTACGTGTGTGTGTCTACGTCTGTGTCTACGTGTGTGTCTACGTGTGTGTGTACGTGTGTGTCTACGTGTGTGTCTACGTGTGTGTGTCTACGTGTGTGTGTGTCTACGTGTGTGTGTACATGTGTGTGTTTGTCTACGTGTGTGCGTGTGTGTGTGTGCGTGTGTGTGTACGTGTGTGTACGTGTGTGTAAGCGTGTCTGTTTGTGTGCTGGCCACCCACTCTCTCGTGTGCCGTGTTGGCCCTTTATCGGAGCTCGCTAACAACACTTGTCCCAAAAGTCTATTTAGGCTATATAGGGGATCTTTGTGTGTGCGGGGGGGAGCGGTGGCGCAGTGGTTAGCGCTGCACTGCGCTACGAACCCATTCAAGGCTCGAATTCATATCCCATTCACAGGCAACATCGGTGTCGATTTGTTTGAACCTAGGTCGACTCAGCCTTAAAATAAATACCAGGTGCGGTGTGTGAAAAAAATAACACTGGGGAAGACAAAGGCGGCCGGGCGTAGTGCTGGCCACCAACTCCCTCGTGTGCCGTGCCGGCTTTCGTAGGTGCTACTTGCTAACAGAACTTGCCCCAACAGTCTGTTAAAAGCTACACGGGGGGATATTTGTCTTTGTATGTGTACAAGTGTGCTTATGGAAATTTGTGTGTAGGCGTATGTGTGTGTGTGGGGAGCGGTAGTGTCGTGGTTAGCGCTACGCTGCGCTTCGAACCCGGCGGCCCGAGTTCGATTCCCGCTCACGGCCAACACCGGTGACGATTATCTGAACCGGTCCTGGGCCTCCCCTAGGTCGACTCGGCCTCAAATGAGTATCTGGTGCGGTGTTTAAACATCGCCACTTGGGAGACAAAGGCGGCAGGGGGTGGTGCTGGCCACCCACCTCCTCGTGTGCCGTGCCGGCCTTCATAGGTGCCACTCGCGAACAGCGCTTGCCCCAACTTGTCTGTTACAGACTATAGGGGGGATCTTTGTGTTTTTGTGTTTGTGAATGTGTGCCCGGCAAAAACAACCGCCTACCTCCTCGTGGTGCCGGACGGCAACGCTGTTGTGTGCAGTGCCGTGGGGGGAGGGCCAACTTTGATTGGCCATTCACCTCATGGCGTTTGTAACCACCACAGCGGCCAAATGCGGGCTCTGGATTGGTGCGTGGGGCTGGTAAACCTTCAATTAATTACCACAAAACCACGATTAAAAAAATCTAATTAATGAGCTTGTGCCGGAGGTCCCGAGGGGACAGGCGTCTACAACGTCTCCTGGCCAAACCCCATTTGGCAGAGCCAGGAGACTGAATCCTTACCCTCGGGGCTCCTCCAGAAAACAACAACAAACCACTACGGGTGGCCACGTGGAATGTTCGAACGCTCACTGCGGAGGAGAGGCTGCCACTCCTCTGTCGGGAGCTGGACCGGTACCGCCTGGATTTCTGTGGTATTCAGGAGGTCCGGTGGACTGGCTCTGGCTCCTGCCACCATAAGGGGTGAACAGTCCTCTACTCGGGGCAGGAGACTGCCAAACAACAGGGAGTGGCTCTTCTTCTGAACAAAATAATGTAGGGGGATAGGAGCGTGGCGGTGAGGTGTGGGAAGCTGTAAGCCCCAAGCTACTTTGGGCTCGCCTTCCCATAAACCAGAGGCGAGGAGTGGTGGTCATGGTAACTTATGCCCCCACCAAAGACGAACATCCGTGGAGAGATGCAGGCAAGGCCGATGAGTCAGATGCCTTCTATGACCTCCTGTCACAGGTGTTAAAGTGGCCCCTCGGGATAGAGTCATCTTGTTGGGTGACTTCAATGCCTGAGTTTGCCAAGATGCTAGCACCTGGTCTGGAGTGATTGGAAGGCACGGGCTAGATCAGCTCAATAACAACGGTAGGAGGCTGCTAATTTTTTGTGCAGCCCATGGGCTTGTAATTGCCAACACGCTGTTCCGGCATCGGCGCATCCACACAACATCATGGATGCATGCCGGGTCCAAGCAAGAAAATCTGCTGGACTACATATGGATGGAACAGCGGATGCGGGCCCATGTCCTTGACACCAGGCCCTACCGTGGAGCTGATCTGCCCACTGACCATCGACTTGTCATCTGTAAGATGCGCCTGCCATTCTTCCACTCCGGTGGTGGGTGTACACCCAGGACCTCATTCAAACCTAAGGTGGCATCATCTCAGCGAGCTGATGAAAGTTGCAAGCGAGAATTTCATCATCGCTTGCGGCTGGGGTTGGCATCGTCCGCCACCCCTCCTGATGTCGAGGGGAAATGGGCGAGGTTTAGGACTGTGGCTCATGCAGCTGCAATGGCTGCTTTGGGTACATGGTCCAGACCTCCCCAGAGACCCTGGTTGACAGAGAGGCAGGCTGAGAAAAAGCGACAGGCCCACTCTCATCGGCTACAGCATCCCACGTCGGAGAATGAGGAGGCTTACCCCAGCCTTCGCTCGGAGGTCTGGAGAGCCGTGAGGCACTGCAAGGATGGGTGTTGGTCGCGGGTTGCTGAGGAGATGGAGTCTGCCTCAGTGGCCCGCGATCACAAATATCTATTTAACTCCATCAAAAAAGTAACCTGCAGCGCCACACCTATTACCATCATTAGGGGAAAGAACGGTGATCCAATCTCCGACACCCAGGAACAGGTTTTCAGATTTGCAGAGCATTTCTGTGAGATCCTGGAGGGAAAATCCCTCAGCGTGGAAAACAACGTGGGACAAAGTGGGAATGACCCTGCTGAGGCTGCGGTGCCTCAAATATTGGAAAAAGAAGTCACCCCTGTGAGTGGCTGGCTGAGATGCCATCTGTTGAGGAAGTACTGAAGGCGATCCAGAGTCTGAGACCACGAAAGGCACCAGGCAGAGATGATCTCCCAAGCGAAATGCTGAAGGAGGGTGGCGTTTGTGCACAGACTGCCCTACATGACATCATAACAACAGTCTGGACCACTGGACAGGTTCCGCAGGATTAGAAGGATGCCCTTGTGGTCCCCCTCTTTAAGAAAAGGGACCTCACAGACTGTAACACCTACAGGGGCATCTCCCTCCTCAGTGTGCCGGGAAAGGTCCTGGCAAGGATTATTCAAAATTGCCTTGCTAGGCACGCTGAGGAGAGGCTTGCGGAGCCCATTACCGTTTCAAGGAAAGGGCTGTCCTGCACAGATGCCATTTTTTCTGTCCATCTGCTACAGCACATGTGTAGGGAATTCCAACAAGACCTACATCTCTGCCTTATTGACCTGGTCAAGGTCTATGATACCATCAGTAGGCCTGGGCTCTGGGTTGTTCTTTGTGCTTTCGGAATCACGGACACTCTGCTCATGATCATTAAGGACCTTCATGATGGTGAGTGTGCCCAGGTAAAACTACGTGACCGGGAGTCAGAGCCGTTCCCTGTACACTTTGCGGTGCGACAGGGATGCCATCTGGCTCTCACATTATTTAACATCTATTTCGACCACGTAGTTTGTGAAGCATTCGATGGCTGTACCGGGGGAATTTCCATTTGGTACAGACACAATGGGAGGCTGTCGATGCCCGGATGCGGTAAAGGGATGGCTCCCTATTGCTCAACAACGTGATGTATGCCGATGATCTGGTAATTGCTGCTGACTCAGAGGAGTTGGAGGCACTGCTGCTGAACCTGGAGCTTGCCACCAAGAGGTGTGGCCTTACCATCAGCCCCACCAAAACTAAGCACCTGCCTGGGTATTTAGTACCATCGGACACTCCACCCCCACAACTCCCAATTGGTGACAAGGCAGTTGTGGAGAGAGTGGAGAGTTTCCCATACCTTGGTAGTGCGCTCATGACCTGCTCCGGTTTAACAGCAGAAGTCTCACTCCGAATCAGTCGAGCGGCATTATCTTTTCAGCTACCTGGTCTATCACTCCGCACGAAGCTTCAGGTCTTCTCGGCCACGGTCATTCCCTCCCTTTTCTACGCTTGCGAAACGTGAACCCCCCTAATGGCACATCTTCGCCGGTTAGAAACATTTAGACAGGCCTGTCTACGATCCATCCTTGGTTTAACTAGGCTGGATTGTGTGAGGAGCTCACAAATCCTTGAAAGATGTGAACAAAGTCCCATCGGTGAGCTCCTCCGGCAGGCAAGGCTGCATTGGCTGGGCCATGTAGCCCGCATGCCCAGCCACCGCATGCCGAAACAGCTTTTGTTCGGCCGGATCGAGGGGCTGCACGGGCGCGGCACGGGCTAGAGACGGGATGGAGTGATGTGGTACAGGAGGACGTGGAGCTGAGTGGACTTGCCGATGACTCGTACCAGCGGTGTCAAGATCGGCCTCTGTGGAGGAGGAGGCTCGTGAAGGA